CTTGATTAACAAAAGCAATCATACTGGAAGGCCTCTGTTGGAGAAGATAAATGAAGATTGAGCAAAAACAATTCGTCTCTATTCCTAGGTCATGAACACTCATATTAGAGGGCCTGATCTTACTGCAACTTTCTAATCATACCAAGAATGTAAGGTCCATCTGCAGAAATCTTGCATCCTTCTCATGCTAGAATAATTAGTTTGCAGAGCTCTATATACACTTAGGCGGTGTGTGGGGATACACCATGCAAGATCTAGCAATGCTGCTTATACCCCTCTACTTTTGGTTTGTTTGTTTGTTTTTAATTATTCATCTTGTGCCAACAGCTGTAGTATTAAGCGCTTGTAATATTAATATATTGGAAAATGGAATTTTTTTGTATTTGCTGCATGCAAATACTATCTTTCTGCCAAAGCACTCAAAGCTTAAAATAGTGGCTTACCATGTAAGCTACATGCTGCAGTTGCCACTGAAAGAAGAGCAACAGTGGCCAGAAACAGCCACAGTGTTTTCCTTCCTCTCCCCCACTCCACTTGCATCTCCTGCCACGATTTCCTCTCCCCTTGCTGCACTCACCGCAGCAGGAAGTCAGAAGATCAGGAGGCAACTGAAGGATGAATCACTAAGGTGCACCACCTTACCCTCAGTGGCAATTTGTGGTGGTGTCTGGAGACACTGATTCAAAATCCGAAATATGACTGCAGACCCAGAAAGGGTGCTTTCCTTTGAGCTAAGTGTTCATGACCTACCTCATTGTGGTGACCCCCAACAAACTCGAATCAGCAGTAGAAAATCCAAGAGGAGGGATTTTCTTTCACAATGGCCATCACCGCAGGAGGGCACCAGGTCAAGGAAGACACATACAAGGGAAACTAGAAGTCTGTGTTGGGGAGAGCCCAGGGGCAGTCTTGGCCAAGGGGTTCCAAGGGAGTTTCTCATGGTCTCTTTTCTCTCCCCCGTGCATACTGGTGAAATGGCAAGGAAACAGTTCTCTGTTTGGTGCAACCAGAACATCCAGTTATCCAGTGGATAAAAATACTCACCACCATGGGGTAAAACACTGAGGAATGCATCAGGAAGTCCTTGGTTCAGATCTTCCCTCCATCATGAACTCAACAGGCTGGGAACCAGAGACTGAGTCAAAAGCTTTGGAGTCAATGGACAAGCCAGAAGTTAAGAATGAAGAGTGAGCCAGAAGGACAAACATAAGAGGCAAAGCCAAGGTGCAACAGTTTCTAAGTGCATCTAAGCACATAGTTATATATTCTTCAATTATTGCATTCATATCCCACCCCCACAATTCTTGAGTCAGAATAGCCCTGTCAAGGAATCCATCCTCCTCTGTAGTTAATGGGGGATAAGTGGAAATGAATTTCAAGAAGTAACAAAATAAAAACTGGCTACCCATAGCTATCTCCATAGCTGTGCCCCTCTCTTGGTCATACTGGAGCATAACCAAGACAAAGAACTGACCTTCTGATACAGTGATGTGTGTCCTCTCAGATTTCTGTGTGTACTGTTGCTCTGAGGCAGTGACCTGATTCACACAACACAACCCACAGTGGGTGACCAGCCATGGGGAGTCATTGGATCATCTGAGCCCAGCACAGTTTCTGCAGGGTGACTTATTTTTCCATGAACAAACAACCCAGAGAACCCATGGAACCTACAACTAGTTTCAGGGTTACTGTGTTCAGAACCTGGCAGGGTGATTTTATTGTGGATTGTTGAAAGGGATACAGAGGCGCTCAGCAACTGTATTCGCAAAGTGTGTACCAGTGGGTTTTTGCCAGTGATCTTGCCAGTGATGGCCTTCTACTGATGCTGCAATTCCACTTTGAAAGAGCTGTCACTTATTCTCTGAGTGCTTAAAAAGTATTTCCCCCCCTAGAAAATACAAAATTGATGCTGCAGTTAAAGAAATGATGGCCTTATTTTCCAGCTCTTAAATTGGCACAAATGCCCCTCCATTTACTTCCCAGCCCTTAACGTTTGCACCTATTTCTGTGAGGTCTTTTAGAACTGTCAGGATCCACAGCAGTAAGTGCTCCAAAAGAAGCCGTGAAAAATGTGGGACTTAATATCTCACCTTTCTAGAGCAGCTGGAGACTGCTTAGTCTCCTCCTCCTTTTTAACCCTTCTTCGAGACAAAGCAGTGGCACTTAGAATTGAGAGGGACTACATTACTAAAAAAGAGAAAATGCCATTTTCCCTGCTGCTTCTGATGCACCTTCTTTTGCTGCCCCCCCTTTTTTTACTGGTGCTTTCCAGTTGACAACTTGGTAATTTGACCCTGTTAACTGTGCACAAATCAGCCTATATGGAGTGTAGCCTTGCCAATGGGTTACCTGCTCCACTTCAGCATTCCCTTGGACAAGGCAATTGACCAAACAAGACTGAACATATTTAGTACTCAAGACTACACGAGTGCATTTGTGCAAGACCAACAGAGATGATGATGGTGAAGATGAAATTATGGACGAGTTGCACAATTTCTAGGGGCCAAATGAAGAGGCATAGCCATCAGAGCAGGGAGGAGTAGACAATACTGGTTCTGCCACAAAGCATCCAAGGATACTGGTTGGAGGACCAAGGGTGAGAACAACAGAGTAAGTCCAGTAATCTGTCCTGTGTGTTATGGGTTAGGGTTAGCATGACTGATTCACAGGATGGCACAGCATGATATGCAAACATGCCCAATACCTAGAATAGACAAAGCAGTGCTGTTAGCCTGTAGCATTCAGAGGATGCGGGGGCTAAGGTGGCTTGCAAAGGTTAGAGTGTGGTTGGAGCTCATGGCCACCAGAATTTCTGCTCCTGTCTTCTGGGACAGGGAAAGTTGTCCATGGAGGAAAGAACAGACTACAGAGACTAGGAGAAATATGGACTGTTGAGTTTGGGCTTTGCAAGCAGCTTAGGTGGGGTGACCACTTATGAACTGCCAATTCAAAGAGTACATGCATCACCCAAACAGAGGACACACATTTGCATAAAATTTCCATACACAAATTTAGAAGCAATTATAATTTAAATAGAAATACAGTATGCCTCACCAAAGTGTGGAAGATTATGAGCAGGTGACTTGTGTGCCAGCCCGTTCAGTCTACTTTTATATTTCTTTATCTTTAAACTGGAATCCTCTAAATAGAGAAGTATGATTCTTATTACATTCATTTAAAACCCCTCTTTTTCCCTCTTACAAGCAGCCCAAGGTTGCTTACATGATCTTGCTCCTCTCCATTTGATCCTCAGAACTCTGTGGGGCAGGTAAGGCTGCAAGTCAGTGAATAGCCTAAAGTCAGCCAATGATCTACAGGGTTAAGTGGGGACTAGGACCCGGATCTCCTGAGTCCCAGTCCAACACACTAACCACTACACCACACTGGCCTTCAGAGAATGGTCCTCTGCAAAAGAGAATACATAGCACCCTAAGAAAACAGGAAGACACAGCCTTATATTGGGTTAGGCCTTTGGTCTATCCAGTCCAATATTTTCAACACTGATGGGCAGTATTTTCACAGTTTCAGGCATGATGCTTTTCTTAATTGTACATGGTGATCCCAGGAACTGAATCAAGGATCTTCTGCATGTAAAATCTACTTTTTTATGGCCACTAGCAAAAGAGGCCTGGTTCTCTCTAGAGAAATCTGTTACAGTGGCAATGGTCTGTCAGAGTGTTTAAGCTGTCCCTGCACCAACTTTCTACCTGTATATTTGCAAATAAACTTGAATACTACAAAATGCAAATAGTGACCTCCAGTGACCTCCTTCCAAAGGACACCAACCATTGCACCCCTGGAAATGCTCACTTCTCAAACTGATTTGTGTGTGAATATATTGAAGTAGGTCCAGCACAAGCTCTCACTGCATCCTCTGCTGCATCCCTCAGCCCCCTCACATCTCCCCCTACCTCACTGGCCCTCCCCCTTGTCATGTCTGCCTCTTACTTTCTTACTTCCACCACCACCATGGCTACCACAGTATGGGTGATCCCCTGGGACAACTCCTTCCATAAAGCCTGGCTCTGAGGAAGGACCCCTCAGAGCTAGGCTCTTAGGCCTGAAGAATGCTGCCACTGGCTATCCCTGGCCAGTGCAGGTCAACAGAGAGCCTGTCAGCCCACCTTTGGACTCGCTTTGAGAAGTTTCTTGGTGCAAGCCAAAGGGCAGATGCCTGAGACCACTGGCCCATTCTTTCACTTGCTCAGAGGGTGGGCAATGGCCATGGGGAGACCTACTGGCCACTCTCCCATTGCGGCATTTACTGCTGTGGAAGATGGGGGCAGTGGGGTTCTCTAGAGCACCTGCTTGTTCTGTGAAGCCAATGGCTGCTCCAGACAGTCCCATACTCCCCCTCTCCTGCTGTGGGAAATGCCATGGAAGGTGAGCAGCCAGTGGAGCTCTCCAGACACTTGGTGGATCTGGGGAAAGGGTAGATGGGAAGGAGCAGCAGAATCTGCTGCTCCTCCCACTCCACTGCCTGAAGCAGCAGGCTACACCCTGCTTCATGGGAGGGCCAGCGCTGAATTAAAAGATGGTGGGGGAGGGGGGCTTCTGGAATTCAGGAAGGGCAAATGCTTTGAACTGACCTATAGCTGAAAAAGTTTCCGCATAACTGATACATGCATACGACAAACCAAAAACTGTTTTCACTGCTGTCAAATACATGAACACCAACCATGTGTTCCCTTTACATAATCAGGAATGCCCTGGAAACACGCCCCAGTTACAAGCTTCTCTGCTTCTTAATTATTTTACTGGGCACTGGAGCCTGGATTCCCAGCGTAGTTCTTAAAAGCTTTTTTTCATAAATATTCCATGGCCTTGTCGGGAGTGTAATGTTCTACTGTGACATTAAAGAGGAAGCTGTTTGAAGGGGAGGGATGTCAACAAATTTATCCACCAATAGCATGCTCTTTTGGCACAAAAGCACATTCTTATCTTTACATCCCATAATGAGAAGGCAGAGCCAGAATTTGGTGCCGTAACTCCTTGGATGTGCAGTTGAGAAGAAGAAAAAGAAGCAAGCGAGAGAGAGAGAGAGAGATTGACTCATGTTTTGCTCACATTTCTCCTGCTTGTCCTGACAGAGGAGCGAGTTCTGTATTATTATTATTTTCCTCCTGTGGTTTCCTAAACGGAATTAAAGGAAACTTCTTTTCGCATGATGTCAGACTGTGAGGGAATTACTGTGGGTAAGTGCTAGATTTATATTTACCACCATGTCCTGAAGTCTAGTTCATATTCTAGGCTTGCGAAGGCAATGCAGAAGAAGCGGCATGTTTTTTCAGAAACTAACATTCACTGATGTCACTTGGAGCAGGCAGAGAGAGGCAAAGGGAGTGTTTTAGCTGGATTTCCCTCTCTGAAAACTAGTGGAGTCCTAGAACATTCTTGTGTAGCTGTTGCTGGACATATATTATGGAGGCTACCCGTCTACACTTTTCTTCTCTTTGTTTAAAGCTTTGGATAATAAATGTGTGTATCTGTTTACTTGGTAAAAAGAAGGTAATCACCCTGTGTTGCATGTTCTGAGCGAATACTGATGATAAGCTGATAAGAACCTAAACACAAAATGACAATGGATGATAAGGAGTATTTTATGGGGAAATGGTAGGAGCATACAATGTGGTTACTTTGGTAGAAACTGAAGTGTCCAAATTTGGCCTTTAAGGCACCTCGGAGAGGAATGTCTGGGAATGAGACCAGAAACTGTGTAACTTACTAGCATTTTTCCATAACTAAAAAAAGCTGCCGAAAAGGAAGCAGAAAGTCATAAAAGTGGATTTGTTGCTGGAAGAATGGTATACGTGCCCTTTGGTTTGGAAATGTGTCCTGGCATAGAATACTTAAGCACATTTGTTCAGTGAACCAATGGTTAGGGCATCCTTAGTGGCTTAAGAGGCGGAGCCATTTGCTGGAAATAGGCGTCCCTCCATGTTTAAGCTGCTCAGCAGAAGCACTGCATCATATACCCTCCAGGAAGGAAAATGCTTCGAAGAAACCCCAGGTTGTTCGGCAGAAACAGAAGTGTCCAAATTTGGCCTCTGAAGCGCCTTGGAGAGGAATGTCTGGGAATGAGACCAGAAACTGTGTCTATATAGAGAGAGAAAGAGAGGGAGAGAGCAATCAGCTTCCTTAAAAGTACTTCAGGTTTGACAGAACAAATATTTATCCTGTCTCATGGTAGTTTAGAGCAGTTGCAGAACAATTTTGTTTTATGGGCACAGGACTGAGCCACGCCCGTGTTGCCTTTTGGAGTGAGTGCAAAACTCGGGAGGCTGAGAAAGAGCGGCTTATACAAGGACTGCTTTCCCCAGCTGCCATCCTCTCAGACATATTACACTGTAGCTCATGTCATCCCTTCGGTGGCCACCATATCAAAGGGGCACCGTAGCTGTGGGTGATGGGAGTGGCTGCTGGTTGAGCTAGGAATTTTATATCCTGGACATAATGGCCGTATGGACTCCATAATAGTCATTTGCAGTGCTTCAGTTGTGGCGCAGTTAACAAATATTTTGCTTCCCCCAGCAACCACTACACCATGCTTTACAACTCCTTCTCCATTCCTTTTATGTTAGAACAACAGCAACAACAGAACAGTTTGCCAGTCCTGATCAGAAAAAGATAACCAGAGAATATGCAGCTTTGCATTTTAAGTTCAGGCAAATCATAGCAGCATCTTGATGATTGGTTTTTGCGCCTGCTGTTCTGACGTCCTGGGACCTGCCACGCTCTGAATACTTGCTTGGGGACCCCTTGGGTGTGGGGTCCCAGCCTTTGCTGGCATGGTGCAGCCCTAGCTGCATCACTGGAGAATTCAGGAGAGTTAGGTACAGCTTTGAATCAAGATCAGATAGGCTTTTATCTACAATCCCTTACATTCCTCTTTCTTTCTGTTCCTCTACCACTAAGACCTGAGTAAAGATTTCCATAGTCTCTGGAAAGCTGCATCCAAGGGAGCAAGATAAATGATTGCAGTGATAGGCAAAACCACTGAAGACTGGAGTAAATTCACCTGTGTGAAACTGCACCTATTTCTACTTTGCTTGGTCACACAATCCTCAGCAAATGGCTGAGCAAACTGAAACCAGAGTTCTTACCGCCAGTATTTACAGAGGTTTCAGAAATTCCAGCCTGTGTGTGTGTGGGGGGGTGTCTTTTCTTTTTTTTTGGGGGGGGGGCAAATGGACAAATTGGTATCTCTCTCCTTTTGGGCAAATCTGTGTGCTTTGTACAACTACAGTAAGACCTTAACAGATTATCCAAAGTGGGCTGTGTTTGTTAACAGACCAGTGGATACAGAAACGGATTTAATTGCAGCACCTTGCTTGGAGCTCAGAAGTTGTATTTCTTCTGCCTCTATCCTATATGGACCAAATGTCAAAAATCCTATGCATTAGAAAGGCAAAGGGAAAAGCAAAGCAGGTATTTTTCCTTGCCTTATCAAAATCCATGCTGTGCAGCTGGTAACCAAAGTAGGGTGCTTTGCCAGCAGAGCTGGCCTCCATTTAGAAGCATGTTTGCTTATTAAGCACTATGATGAGTCATACCAGGGAAGTGGGAGAGGCCAGGAAGATGGGATTCAGATGTCAGAGCCAATATTTAGTGCATGCTTCATTTGAATGAAACGACTGCATAGATCTTCCATTTCCTTTTGCAAAAGGAAAGGGGTTAGGATATTGTTTCTTGTAGATGGTTGTGTGGATGTGAGTGCTACATGTAACGTGGGCGTAACTCCATTACCTACTGGTGTAACCACTGACAATTCCATTGCTGCCAATGGAAGCTTGCCTCTCAGGAGGAATACCCAGCTTTGATTTTCATTAGGATTATGAGAAGAGGGCAGCATTAAATCCCCTCTTCTCATGGATCATAGTCCTGATCCTGGCAGCCCCATGGCAGCTATTTAATTTTTAACCATCTGTGCATTCCTTATTTTAATGTAATTAAGATAATATGTATAATACCTGATATGTATGCACTTTAACATCTATGCATTTTATATGCCTATTTATTATATTCTTCGGGTATAAATAGTATTTTTTTAACAGTTCTCTGTTTGCTCATGGGTGACTCACTTTTCTTGCAAACTACAAGATCACATGCTTGAGCCACATTGCACTTGATACCATAAAAGGGTGTGGGGAGAGAGATGGCAGGTCAGAAGAGGATATAAATTAAGTGGGAAGGGTGTGCCTAGAGCTACCCCAGGAACATTTATCTACCTGGGCCTGGAGCTGGAGTTCAGAATGAAATCTGCCTCAGTGTTTCGTTCATGAATGTTAGAAAGTTGCTCCAGAAAAACATTGCACCTTTAAGGCAGCAATCCTATATCCAATTACCTGGAGTAAGTCCCATTGAATGCGATAGGATTTACTTCTGAATAGACATAGAGATGATTGCACAGTAAAAGAAAATGACTGCTTCTGGTATCATGGGAAGTGGCCCTTAACACAAGGAGTTGAGTAGAACATTACCTGAACTTAGCCAGGTGTAAATAATCTGCCAGTGAAAAGTTGGCATCCTGGTTGCAGACTTAGTGTTAAGTTTCAGGGCAGTGTTTGTATACATTTGCATAGATGGGACTACATAAAGACCTTTCCTAATCAAAAGCTTGAGGTTGTCTTGCTGGAGTGCAAAATTAAGCATCATTGCAACCAAGTCTTTGCAGTGTATCTGATAATACATTCTTTTAATTAGCAAATAAGTTTATAGCAAACTTTAATAGTTTTATAGTTTTTAATTTTTATAGTTTAAATAAGCAAACATCATTTCTATGCGGCTTGCAGCCTACACAAGAATGCAGTCTGAACAGCTGCATAATTGTTCTCTGCAGATGCAGGCAGGAAGGGAACCGAGGCGGGACCAAAGGAGGGCTGCTGTCTGTTACCCTCCCTTTAGTGTCAGTAGCAAGGCAGAAATGGCCAATATTTCTTTTCCATAAAAAGCTTAATTATATACAGGTCTTCAAATCTTAAAATTCTCTAGTGGAAAACATTGACTTGTCCTCCTACATTTGAATGGGAAATTGAAGATGTGCTGGAGATGAGATGAAAAGAACATAAAAGAAGTGCGTGGCAAGGAAGTGCATCCTTGGATGTTAAGCAAGCACAGCCAGGAGAGGAGAAGAGAGGAGTCTCTCTATATATATTTGCACACACACATGAGGCCATAACTCCTTCATAGATCACTGCCTTGTCGTGGTGAAGGGGCTTGCGTAGCTCAATGAAGCTATGAGCTGTGCATTGCAGGGCCACCCAAGATGGACAGGTCATAGCAGAGAGCTCTGACAAAACGTGATCCACTGGAGAAGGAAATTGCAACCCACTCCAGTATCTTTGCCATGAAAACCCCATGGACAGTACCAAAAGGCAAAAAGATATGATGCCGGAAGATGAGCCCCTCAGGTCGGAAGGTGTCCAATATGCTACTGGGGAAGAGCAGAGGGCTAGTACTAGTAGCGCCAGAAAGAATGAAGCGACTGGATCAAAGTTCAAACTGCCACATTATTGCACTCATTTCACATGCTAGCAAAGTGATGCTCAAAATCCTACAAGCTAGGCTCCAGCAGTATGTTGACCGAGAACTACCAGAAGTACAGGCAGGATTTTGAAGAGGGAGAGGAACTAGAGATCAAATTGCCAACATATGCTGGATCATGGAGAAAGCTAGGGAGTTCCAGAAAAACATCTACTTCTGCTTCATTGACTATGCTAAAGCCTTTAATTGTATGGATCACAACCAATTGTGGCAAGTTCTTAAAGAGATGGGAGTACCAGACCATCTTATTTGTCTCTTGAGAAATCTATATGCGGATCAAGAAGCAACAGTGAGAACTGGACACGGAACCACTGATTGGTTCAAAATTGAGAAAGGAGTTCGGCAAGGCTGTATACTGTCGCCCTGCCTATTTAACTTATATGCAGAGCACATCATGAGAAAGGCGGGGCTAGATGAATCACCAGTTGGAATTAAGATTGCTGGGAGAAATATCAACAACCCCAGATATGCAGATGATACCACTCTCATGGCAGAAAGTGAAGAGGAACTAAAGAGCCTCTTGATGCGGGTGAAGGAGGAGAGTGCAAAAGTTGGCTTGAAACTCAACATTAAGAAAACTAAGATAATGGCATCTGGTCCTCTCACTTCCTGGCAAATAGATGGGGAAGGAATGGAGGTAGTGACAGATTTT